GTGACACAGATAGGTGGAGATTGGTCCATGTATTATTCTTACAGCATTTCGACTTTAAGTCTAATTGAGTTATTCACAAATGTCAATGAACATCAAAATCTCTGGGGCCATGATAACTAATGAATATCTAAACTGTGGTAGACTCTTAAATGGAATACTATGCAGCCGTAGAAAAGACGCAGTTTCAATATGTGCTACAGTATAAATGAACACTGAAAATTTGTATTAAAAAAAGAACAAAATGCTATATTGAATGAAAGAATCCAGACACAAAGGCCACATATTGTATGATCTTACCTTTATGAACCGAACAAAACAGGAAAATTCCTAAAGACAGAAAGCAGATTAGAGCTGACTGAGGCTGAGAGAACAGGAAAATTAGTGACTGCTTAACAGGTGTGGGGATTTTTTTAGTAAAGAGAATCTTGTGGGGGCCGGGGAGATAGCTCAGTGGTCTAAGGGCACGCCTGGCAAGCACAAGGACCTGGGTTTGATCCTCAGTACCGGATGCCATGTGGGCCCAGCGGCGTGCTGGCCTCCAAAACCAGGTGTGGTGGTACACACCTGTAATCCCAGTGCTGGGGAGGCTGATACAGGAGGATCACTGCGAGTCTGAGCTGTGTAGCAAGACCTGTGCTAAGTAAACAAATAAATCTTTAAAAGGAGAGACAGAGAGAGAATATAAATGAATATCAATCTTCTGGAATTAGAAAGTGAAATCGGTTATACAACATTGAGTACATTAAGAACTCCTGGGTTACTCTTTAAATGGCTTAAAGAATGAACATCACACTCCAGGAATTTCGCTTTGATTAAGCGGTTCCTGCAGGGATAAAGCTCCGTGTCAAATGATGTTCTAGTGTCTTCTCCCCACCCATGGGGCCTGGTCTATAACCAAGAAACACACAGACTGGCTCAGGCCTCCTCTGCAGGAGCAGCTGCCTCTCCGGTTGTGAGAACAGCCTGTTTCCCACCATTGAATGAATTCCTCCAAGATAGTCACATCCCTCCACACCCTGGCTCAGGCTTTTTGCCACCACACCCACCATTTCTTCTTCTTGTCCTTTAGGTGAGGGGCTCATGTGTGTCCCTTCCCAGGGAGGTCTAATTGTGTTCCTTGGTGGAGTCCACCCCTCCACCAGTCAGGTGCATGTCTTGCCCCACTTGCTGTTTTGTTTTCCTCCTCCTCCTCCTCCTCCTCCTCCTCCTGCTCCTTTTCCTCTACTTTCTCCTCCTTCTCCTCTGTCTGTTACTCCTCCTTTCCTCCTCCACCTTCTCCTTGTGTTCCTCCTCCTCTACCTCTTCTTTTTCCATCTCTTTCTCCTCCACTTCCTCCTCCTCCTCCTTCTCCTCCTCCTTCTCCATCTCAGCCCTTTCCTTTCCAACCCTTACACTCTTCCCTCAGCGTGTTTTCTCACTCCACCTCCTGAAATGCAGGTTCCAAGAACACTGGAGTTCATGTGTTCTGTGGACTCTTCTGTCCCCAAAAGCTTACTGGTGTAGAATAAATACTTGCAGAATCACTGGATGATGAGTGACAGATTGCTCACTTCCTTCCTCTACTGACTTTCTCTAAATGCCCAAAGAAGATTCTGGAATATTCTTTCAGAGTGAAATAACAAGAGGCAAAGATCACCTTTGGTCTCATCCCCATCTGTCATCGGAGTGTTCTGGGGCAAGTGCGGTGGTGCACACCTATAAGCCCAATACTCCGGGAGGCTGAGATGGAGGATCACATGTTTAAACCCAGTCTGGGCAATTTAACAATTTAGCAAGGCTGTGTCTCAAAAGGTAAAAAGGGCTGGGTTATATCTCAGTGGTAGAGCCTTTCTGAGTTCAATCCCTAGTACACAGGCAAGGCTCTCAGTAGTACAATACTTTCTTGGTATGCACAAAGCTCAGGGTTCAAGTCCCAGCAGTGCCAAAACACACACACACACACACACACACACACACACACACACGCTGGTTCTTGGATGATTGCACAGGGTTACATCCTGGGTATTTTCACTGCGCCAGCTGTGAGGGCTGGTGCCACCCTGGTGAGCCTGGGCTGTACTTGGAGTACTTGCTCTGTGCCAAGTGGTCCACCCTGAGCAAAGGTCAGTCAGGTCTTGGAATTCATGGAAACCTCACTTAGCATCTTGTTCCCACAGCAGCACCTCCAGAAATGGGTGCCTCTGAGTAGACCCCAGAGCCAGCTAAAAGCCTGCGCACACACAGATGGCATCTCCAGTGATTCTGACAAGAGAGAACTTGCAAAACGCTTGGGCTTCATCCCTCAAAAGAGACGAAAGGCTGAGGGAAATAAGTTTGTTATCACATAGATCACTGTACTTCCACCTGATAGTACATAGCCCAGGACACGAAGTGTACTTTTGCCAAATAAGATCTCCTCTGTTTTCTCCAGAATTTAATCCACACTTTTAGTCTCATTCATCTTGTTTCTGTCCCTTTTTGTTAATGTCCACTTCCCCACCAAAAGCACCAGAGTGTGTGTGTGTGTGTGTGTGTGTGTGTGTGTGTGTGTGTCTGTCTCTCTGTCTGTCTGTCTGTCTGTGTCTATGGGATGGTGCAGACATGACTGAGCTTGGTGAATGGAGCTGGTCTCAGTTCTTCCTTCTCCCGAGGCTGCAGACTTTCTCGGATCCCTTTACGACAGGGTGAGTCAAGCCATGCTTTCTTCCAGCCTCCCTGAACTACTGTTATTCTTACTTTAAGCCCTTCTCGAGATTAACACCTTATCCTAGTGTCTTTCCTAATTAACTCGGACGTTTCCCAGAATCAGTTCCCTCCCAGAATGAACTGATCCATTTGTCATCCTGCTTCCAAGTTGTATAGCCCTGAAAATGAGCCTCTGTCCCTAAGGCCAGGCCTGCAAACACATGTTCCAGGAATAATCACAAGTATGGAAGGTGGTCGGATTTAGACCTTGATGAAGTGTATTTCTCCGCAAGGGGAAGAACTGCTCTCAATTCCCGGTCTCATGTACCAGTCTCTTCAACACAAAGCCTTCTAAATTGAAAATACTATAGTCTGTAGCTTGTTGGAGCTGTTTGGCATTATTTTGATACTAGGAATAATCAATCTATCCAGCAAGGATAGTTGTAAAGGTTTGAAAGGAAACTTCATTACAGTCCTACAGGTCAGCCTCTGTATATTTCCTTTAAACCCAGCCACAGGACTTTCATTGCATTAATTTATTGTGGGTTATAATTATATTCTAAAGGTGACAATCTGAGATTAATAGATAGTATTCAGATAAAGAGTTGTATCATCATTTTTAGACATGGAAATAATCCCAATCTCAAAATACTGCCACTCTTTGTCATAGTGTGGTGGCTAGTCTGCTGTCTTCAGGGACACATAGCAGCCTCTGTTGTTTTGGCAACTAATCAAGATCTAATTATAATATCATCCTATAAATGCCTCCATGGTGAGAGAAGACTTGAGCCTGCTATCCAGAAAGCTTTCTCGCTTAGTAATAAAACCCTTCCGGATCTCTGGCATGCCTCTCCCTTGCTGATTCAAGACATGGCAAAATGCATTTGTGGAAGAATATGATACACTCTTTGTTGGTGATGGTATTCCAGAGTAGGAATGTTGGTACTCCAGAGTAGGAGTCTGTTTGCCTTCCATTGGTATCCATTTTGTGTTGCTATAACAAAACACACGATGCTGGGCTATCCATAAAGAAAAGAGGTTTATTTCACAGTTCTGGAGGTTGGGAATATGCTCAGTCCTGGTGGGGGCTTCCTGGAGGGCGTCATCACAGTGGCAAGAAGCCATCCAAGGGGGACAGACCCTACTGCAGGGCAGGAAGCAAGACACACTCAAATGCCAGGCTAGCTCTTTTACATGTCCCTCTCAGAGAGAATGAATTAGGTTTCCTCAGGAACAACACTAGTCCCTACTGAGGCAGCTCCCCAGTGACCTAACCAACCTCCACTAGGCCCCATCTGTTAAAGGCCTGGAGCCACTCAACAGCAGCACTCTGGGACCAAGCTTTCAGCACAGGAGCTTCTGGGGAACACACTTAAATCATCTGTATAACTCTATCTGCTGAAGGAATCAAACCCTAAGTTCTCAGCAGTGTACCAGAGTAGGAGTCTGTTTGCCTTCCTTGGAACACTCGGAGGCTCCCATCTCCAGATGGCCACTCCCTACAGGGAGTCTGTCTGACTCCCCCATTAAAGCACTGGATGCCCCAGTCTCAACTATCAGAGAAGAAAGAAATACATCAAGGAGGAATGCTTGCTTAAGTACCATCCATCCAAAGTGACCCATATCACTTCCACTTATATTCTACTGCCAGGAAAGTGTTCCATGGCTCACCAGGTGCAAGGCCGGGGCAGCCCCTCTAGACCACAGAAGGGGAACATGACTTCCTGGAGAGCTGGCTGGCTCTACCACGTCTCTTATAGCCCTGGAACTTAGAGCAAGTGGAGGACATACATTTCCAGACCACCTTCGTTCTCTTACAGCTATGCTAGGAATAGACAGTGATTCCACCCTCCATAGACCTAACTGCCAGAGTCAGCAAGACCTTACCCATGGTGGGACCCTGTGCCCCTGAAGCCATGGCATTGATAAGCAGCCATCTGTACTTATTTTTCTTTGCACCTACCAATAGGGGCACTGGTCCGTGCTGTGATTGTAAGCTACAGGTCCTAAGAACTCTCTTCCCTTTGCACCACTTCACCTGAAACTGTCAGTGACCACTGTATTGAGACTCTGATGAAAGTTACTCATTTGAAAACTGTCACATGATGATGTGCTTTTTGATAATGCATTGCTTCACCAGTGGTATCAGCACTGCACGGGAACAAATGTCGGGATGAGAGGAGTGTGCCTCCTCGTATGCTGTACGGTTGAGACTTTACTCATTGATAGTCATAGTGAAGGCCTGAGCAGCTGTTGCTGGTCCAGGTAGCAGCAAGAGGGGGCAGGAAAGGCCATCCTGTGCCCTGACAACTTCCTGCTGGGCTCTTCCTTCTCAGGTACCCGTTCCCCATGGTCTTCAGCAGCTGCAGCAGGAAGGACCTGGAGACCAGCCTGGAGAAAGGAATGGGGATGTGCCTCTTCAACCTCCCTGAAGTCAAGCAGGCTTTTGGAGGCCAGAAGTGTGGGAATGGATACGTTGAAGAAGGAGAAGAGTGTGACTGTGGGGAGCCGGAGGTAAGGGAACCATCTACAGAACACTCTTCTGATGTTCTTGGATCAACAAAACAGTAAGAAGTTGGGCAGTAGAGAGAATGTGCTAGAAACTCAGGATGGAAAAGTTCTGCATGTCTACCTTGAGCAAGCACCACACACCCCAGGGCACCTTTCTTGAATCTTAACTATGGCACACAAGAAGTCATACCATTTGGTTTAAACAGACAATCTCCTCTACTGAAGGGTGCAGTATTTTCAGGGAGATGATACAAAAACAATAAAAAAGCATTTAGCTTTGAGTTTGACAGAGAAGGAAGCCTTGAAATTTTAGCTTCAAAGAGCTAATAGGCCCCATTTCTTTCTCTTTGTGAGGCAAGCTACTAGAGGGGAATTTGAATAAGCAACACTCAGTTTTCCACAAGAGCTTCCTCTGGACTGAAATTCTCCGGCAGCCTCCTATGTATGCATGGCCTGAGGCTCCCAAGGCTTCCAGCTCTTGTGCTTGTTAGCGTTCAGAAGCAATAAGTGAGAGCAGGGAATGTTTTTATCTAGCTCGGAGTTTATTTAACCCTGCTTTCAAACCAATCTCAGGAAAATATTCTCATTTCTATAGTGCTCAAGATAAAGTTAATCAACATAGAAATTGTAACGGCTACTTTTTCATCTTTGAATATTCCTGAGAAGGAACCAAAGAGAGGACATGGTGAGACCGCCTGGTAAAACAAGCCCCTCAAAGCGTGGAGGAAGCTGTGTTTAGAATAAATCAAAGTGAGGCATTTGTAGTGCAGGAAACTGCATGTGGGATTCTCCGCTAGAGCTTATGTAAGCTAAAATGGCAGACAAGTTCAAGGCAGGCTTAGCTAAATTCACAAATGGCTTCAGGAGGGTTCAGGGCACACACATCCGCCCTGAAAAGGAGATTCTGAGATGGAAGAAAAGCTGTGCTGAGACTTCTGAGCCTCCTGAATAACCCCATGATCTCCATGCAGACAACTGAGCAATGGGACCTTCGTCAGATCCTACCTTCCAGTCTCCAGGATGTTCTCTACCTCCAGGAATGATCTGGGTCTAACAGTTACTAGAAGGGGGTTGGCGATGCATAAGCACTGGGTGGGAGTGGAGAATGTAAGAGTGGTTTTATCGAACTGTTTTGTGTCTTGCCAAACTCAGAACTTATTAACGACAATGACACGGTTACTTGTGCTCACCTGAGCAGGAACTTGTTGCTGTGGAGAAGCAAGCCCTAGCTGTGGTGTTACAGAACCCTTTAAAGATTAGTGAGGGAAAATGTAAACCTATTATAAGATGGGGTGTTTGAAAAGACATTCCTTGAAAGCCTTATTAATTACTTTAAAGAAAAAATGTGATTAGCCTAAGTGTCCTATATTTCTCAGAAGAAACCTTGTTGACTTAAAATGGGTTGCCTTTGATCTGAACTCCTTACAATTGTATAAATATATCTGAGCACCCTTCACGGAGTCATGAATTCTCAGGTTTGGAATGACTGCATTCACACATTTGCCCCGTCTGCCACCACCTCCGCCATTGCTGTCACTGTCGCAACTACTGCTGTTCACATTGCTGCTGCTTCCTCAGCAGCCATTACCACCACTGCCCCCACTGTCATCCCCACCACCCCGCCATTCATTCCCACAGTCACTGCCATCCCTACAGCTACCACCATCACCACTGTCGCCACCATGAGATCGACAGATACTTCAGGATCAAATATTTGTTAGACATTTTTGTTCAGGTCCTCTTTCATCTTCAGGAAGAGGTTGTGCAGATTTGCCAAGATCCCTCCAGGAAGCACATCCTATTGTGGGGCAGATTTGATTATTACAATCTCGTCCACATGCAGAGCCAAAATACTACTTGCCTATAATTCCTATGGTTAAGGTCCTTAATTCATAAAGTGAGTTGTTCACATTTTAAGCAAGTCCTTCATCTCATCCAATCATCCTCCCATAACCGTTTTCAATTTTTTGCATTTGGCTTTTATGTTTTGATTTTCAAAGTGCAAGGTGCAATTGTGCCTTGTACAGTGGTAGCCCATTTCCAGGTTCCGAAATGCTTTGCCCTTTTAATGTGACCCAGTACCTGGACTGTCTCTTCCTCCACAGTGCTTACAACCTGCAGGTATTTCTCCTGCTCCTGGTCAGGCCATTCCCTTGGCCAGAGGGAATCAGTGAGTGGGACTGAAGCAGCTTCTACCCACACACAGCCCAATCCAGCCTCTGCCCCCTCACTCCCAGAAATCATCCCCATCATTTTCAAGAAAATGCATTACAGTTTTATCTCAGTTCCTTGTGACTAAGAATCCATCTTCTGTCTACAGCATAAGAATGGCAATTAGGGTTTCGCAAAGGATTTTCTAATGGTTTCATTTTTCTTTCTTCTTTGGAGATTTGGTATTTCTTGGTTCTGTTGCTTTCCTCTTGAGTACTGCAATAATAAATGCATCAACAGATGAGGAACTTGTCTCTTCTGAGAAATATGGTACTCCAGAAAAAAACTACATTTGGGGTAGTTCAAAGGCAAGCAGCACACGCAGCCTGCTGGTATGGAGTGCTGGATTTATATCACCACAAGGATATCCTGACAGCTCACTCGCTCTTCTAGCTAACAGGACTGGGAAAGCAACCTTATCTCCTTGTTTAAAGTCAATAGGATGCCAGTAGCTTGCAAATATCTTCTAAACTTAGTTATCATTCTCATGTTATCAGCCCTCTTTGAAGTCAAAGACATTCTACTTGGCTGCATTTCCATCTAAACTGCTGCTTCTATTATGTAGTGGTTTGGGAAGGGAAAGCTTCTTAAACGATTTGGAGATGTAAACTTGGGATGTCTGATTTAACTTAGAATTTCAAGGGAATCTCGAATTTGGTTCATGTATCATTAGCAGAGCCATTTGGACCGTAATGAGCAGCATGGCATTGCTGTACATTCGACAGCACTCAATACAGAATGCAATTAATGGTCTCCCTTAGAAAAGCAGAACAAGTTGCTAAACTTTCTTACCATTAAGAGACCCTGAGCCCGAAACCTTTGCTGTCATGAAAGTTACAGCCATGATTTCTGGTTGGCAGTTTTATCTTATTGTATATACTACACATTCTGGATGTTTATAAAGCCCTCAAGCAAATGTAAAGTTTAATAGCTTTGGAAGTATGCGTGATGGGGACAAATGGTAAACATGAAGTGGGAACGTCACACAGGATACAGCTCAGGTATCCAGGGTTTCCGTAAATCTGGGTTAGTACAAGACTGCATTAATGAATGATACATTTATTCAAAAAAGATGGGTTTTAGGAGTAAAGCATGGTGCTGTTAGACTTATATGTGATTAGCTTCACCCTAGTCAATGGTATATAAATTCATGATAGCACATCAGACCTTGGAAATATAAAAGACTATTGATAGGCTAAGCAGTGTGAAAAACTATAAACTATTCTGTCGTATAGCAACTATAATTTCTTCTAAAATATGTAAACTCCAAGTTAATAGGATGATCCAAAGTACATAGACTTCATAAATTTACTAAATGGGTGCAGGCTTTCTGTTGAGAACTAAACAAAAGATGTCAATTGCTCATGATTTTTTGTTAGGAAAAAAAAGGAGTGCCTATGAAGCATACCAAAATAAAGGCTTTGGTTTTCCCTCTCAGTTTTGCTTCCCACAGAGCTATACATTACTATTTGATCTGTGTAAGTCCCCTAAAAACCAACAGAGTCAGCCCCAACCGTCTTCCCACTGCTTAGCCCACCTGTGCAGAGCAAGGGTCTTATCCACCATCATCTAGCTGAGTTCCAGGGACCTTGGGTTCATCTGACTTCATTTCCTCACAGAGCAGTCTAGATGGTAAAGGGTTCTTTTTCTTTGCTTTTTTTCCCTGCAGTTCTAGGGCCTGGACCCACAGCCTCACAAGGCATCCTAGGCAAGCACTCTGCTGCTGAGCTAGATCCCAGCACCATCAAGATTCATTTTTGAAGAGTAATCCTATGCCTCTGTGTATTCTTTTTTTCTTTCTTTTTTATTATTACTTACTAGTCATACAGAATAGTGGGTTTCATTTTAGTATAAATGCACCCAGTCATTTGGGGGTAATTTCAGTCTTCTGGTGGTCCTGAGGCAGGTCACTGCAGTGGGCCCCACATGAAGATCCCTCTAGGAGCGACTACAGCCTCTGACCAGAAGGGCGTCCTGCTTGGCCCTCCAGCCTTCCTGCTTCTACCCCTTTATGTCTCGGGAAAGGCCCTCAGATGTTACCAGCTTCTTCCCGAGATGAGTGACCCACTCAGTTTATGAACACTTCACAGAAAAGCAGATAAAACTGATCCTCAGACAAGGTTTTAGTTCAGTGGCCAGGCCTTGCATTTTTGTAGTCACTGAAGGTGTGACATCTGTGTTCCATATGACCCTGTCAACCAGAGCCCACGTTTCCCCCCAGGAATGTACAAATCGCTGCTGCAATGCCACCACCTGCACCCTGAAGTCAGACGCCGTATGTGCACATGGACTGTGCTGTGAAGACTGTCAGGTGAGTCACAGGGCCTGCAGCTGGGCCCGGCTCATGGACGGGGTTGGGGCCCCCACCTGCTAGCTGCAGCATAAGCAGTATGGCTAGATAGCTTCCCAGAAAGCAGTGGCTGCTTTCACTCAGTCGACATCATCCACCTCTTAATTTTTTATTATCTTCCAATATTCTGGTGAAAGGAACACATCAATCACTAATCACCTAGGATAAATTATTTATTTCTGAAAACTAACAGAACCCAAAAACTGGAGCTTTACATGAATGAACACTCCATTTATCCTGTTGCTTGCATAAGGGGTCCTATGACAGGGCCAGTGTGGAGAATCAGACCCATCCCTGTCGCTAACGCTCACTCCAGATTTGCCTGCTTGGTGCCAAGAATGACCACTGGGCCAAGAAACCATGCAGATGGCTCCAGGGGATTTGCACAAACTTCTCTGACTTAACATCCTCCTGTCGTTAAGTCGAGAGTGGCAGTTTTATGCTTTTGCCGTTTTTTGCCACTATGACTGCGTTTACATTGGCAGTTCCATTGTTTGTCTCATTATTCAGAGCTGATATCTGACAGAGTAGAAGCCCGAGCTTTTGATTCAAGTGTTCCAAGGGTAGAGTTTTATTTCTTGTTAATTAAGCAATTGATCTTGGCAGGCAGTTTACAGGAAACTCCCTCTTAGCTGCCCCACTTGAGTACAGTGATTTAGAAGTGCAGTTTAGCATTTTATGTTCAGCATTAAAATACCCTTTCCCCCCTTCTTGGTGGTCTGTAATTTCTGGGGCAACTTGTAAGAATCTGGAGCTCCTTAGCACCTGGCCTCTGACAATGGAAGGTACCTGGAAGAAGGTTGAGGAGGGTAGGACAGGTCTGAGCTTGAACCAGGTGACCCAGCTTAAACCAAGAAGGGCCACAGGGAGGAATCGTGGTAGTACCCAGGTGTGAACCACCTTTATGAATTTTAAGCAATTCTTTTTTAATTGTGGGCCTTCTAGAAGATGGCAGGAGCCTTATCTCAATGCCTTTGAATAATAGGGAGCCAAGGCCAGGATTTACAAGCCCTGATTAGCCTCCCTGAATCTTAATTTATTCAACTACAAAGATCCAATCACTGGTCAGAGATCTCTAGCATCCTTTACTACATCCCTGTTGTGCCTCTTCTCTAGATCTCCCCAAGTGCCAAAGAGAAGTTTCCAGTCCTGTGAGTGGATGACAAAGTGACATTTCTATGGAGATCATGCCCTTGGAAATATTTTTAACTTATCCACACATGCTAACATTGCAAGTACAAATGTCAATCTGAAGTAGGTGATGATTTTGGCAATCAGAAAAGAATCAGCCTTCCCAGGGACCTGAAGTGCCAGATGCCAGCCAGCAGCTGGCCTACTCATCAGGCACCCCTCAGGTTGCATGCAACTAATAAGAGGCTGTTCTCGATTGTCTCATATTCCTTGTTGCAGAAAGGTGAACCCCAGAGTCTAGAGCAAAACATTTTAGCAAGCTCTCTCCCCTGTAGAAGGGGATTATTTTGAAAGCCTTATTCCTTGATACGGGCTGTGTTAAGATGGCCCTGCTTCATACCTGCCTGCCCTGAAAGCCTTTCAGGATAGCTTCCCCTGGGATCTGTCCTGTAAGCTACCCTCTCCTTCTAGCTGAAGCCTGCGGGAACTGCATGCAGGGGCTCCAGCAACTCCTGCGACCTCCCAGAGTTCTGCACAGGAGCAGGTCCTCACTGTCCAGCCAATGTCTACCTGCATGATGGGCAGCCGTGTCAGGGAGTAGATGGTTACTGCTACAACGGCATCTGCCAGACCCATGAGCAGCAGTGCATCACACTCTGGGGACCAGGTATGTGGCCACCACCCACCTGACACGGGGTATTGGGGAAGCAGGTTCTGTGTCCACATGTCTTGTTGCTGGAGTGTCTGTCTTACGCATAGTGGGCAAAAGATGCTGCCCTTGAGGAGCTCAATGCAACCTAACAAGGGAGGCATGAGTACTGTGGGGGTGACAGGGATGAATCAGTCAGGGCTCCACATATGCAGAGTGGATGGACAGGTCACCAGACCTTCCCACAACTACTCAGGTTATGATAATGTCTCAGTACTAAAAGATCTCAATCGAAGGCTGAGAGAGAAACAGAGAGAGACAGGCAGACAGACAGAGACAGAGACAGAGACAGAGACAGACAAACAGTGACAGAGAGAGAGAGAGAGAGAGAGAGAGAGAGAGAGAGAGAGAGAAAAGAAGCCACTACAGCTGGAGGCAGAGGGCTACATGGACAGGCGGCTCCAAGTTAGGTCAGGCTTCGTGCATCATAGGTCCATGACTGTGAGTAACAGTGAATAGTCAGCTGCCTCTGGGGTGGGAAAGCCTGCAGCATGGCACCTGCCTCTGGGGTGGGAGGCTAGGCTCTAAGCTTAGGGGTAGGATGGGAAAGGAAAGGAAACAGGTGAGGGAGGGCCAAGAGTGCCATTCCATATGACAGGCTTGGTGTCTATCCTAGCAATAGCACCCCAATGAAGATGGTCAGGATGTGGCCGCACAGTGGCAGGATCTAACAAGATGCTGTTCATTAGCTGCACCCTATGTGGAGGGTCCTTACCTAAACACTGGGCCACCTTAGCTCTAGACAAGGATTATAGTCGCACAAAGAAAGTGAAGCTCAAATGCTGAGATAGCAAGTCAGCTTCCCAAAGTCATGCAGCTGGGATCTGAATCTGGTCACTGTGGCCCTAAACCCAAGCAGAACCTCCACAGGGCACTGTTACTCCAAAAAGTCCGTGAGGTCATGGGCTGAAGTCCCACTGAGGCTCTAAAGTTCAGGTTCAGACACAAAGGAGAGAATCAGCGCCTTCCTGTGTGTCTCCTCCCAGATCCACCCTGGCACAGAGATACAGGCCCTCGCCAGTGTAGGAACCCTCAGAGATTTTCTGTCTCTGTTTCCAGAACTCCAGCTGAGAATCCCACAGAGAGTGCCTTGTAGTCCTCTGTCTCCTTCCCTTACTGCGATGTAGCCAAGGCCTCGCTCACTCCCTCCTTCTACTGGCTACAAAGGGGTGACCTCAGTCCTGGCCAGGGACCCCAGTACCAGCAAGGCCACTGTGGTCAGCCAGGCTTAGGGTAAGAGCCAAATGAGCTCAGACAATAGCTCCAGGAGGAGGGAAACCTGATACAGACAGTCAGGCCTTTCTGTGAGGGTCTGATTTCAGGACTGATTTGGGCAAATAAACTAGAGCAGAGCATGATGACCAAACTTAGGAGCCTTGGTTTTAAATATGATGTGAAAGTAGTGGCCATGCATAGAAAATATCTCTTAAAGCTAGATCCTGCCATAGAGCTGTTGTTGCTGCCAGCAAGGGACAACCCTCCGTACGTGGAGCTTTCTGATATAGAAAGAAGTGCAGGCTAGATATGGTGGCATTTACTCACTCATGGATGTGCCTAAGTAGGTCGAACGAAGAGGCCTCTATCTTCAGCCCTGGGCCCTGATACCTGGGCCATCCATGTTACAATGACAAGCACTAAGAAGGCATTTACTATACACATGCTGAGGGCAAGGGGGCCCTGAATGTTTAGCAACTTCAGACACATTTTAAGCAAGCGAGGTTACTTTGAGACAGTGGCTTCTGCTACAAGCCAAATCCTCAAGTCCCCCTCACGGCTGTCTCCCCCCCCAACACACACCCCTCGCCAGCCCTTCTGCAGAGTCAGTAATCTCCCTTCTTGAGTTATGAGTGCCGTTCTGTGCTCTCTTCCAAGGAGTGTTTCATGGCCAGAGCACACACAGCTCTTGGAGCTTTGGAGTGAAACGTGCTCTTTAGTGCCCTGCTGTTCTGTAACATCTGGCTCTGTTTCCAGAGTGAGGTCAGACGGAACTCCACAGTTTTCTCTGAGCCACCATGCCGTGTGACTGGGCTGGCTGTGGGCCCATGATTCCTGGTGACCAAGGCTGGTATTTATTATCTCACTGGGCTGGCCCTTCCCAAGCTGCCTGACCAGAGGGAATCGGGGGGAGAGCAGAGAACACAGGCCAACCACACAAACAGTCTGACCCCTCGCTGAGCTTTGCAAAAGCAAGGGCAACAGGAAATTGTCTGCTTGGACTGTCATTCTTGGGCCTGAAGGTAAGGCTGGAGGTCTGACTGCCTGGGAGTGTCCTCCTCCCCAAGCAAGAGGCGGCCTTGATCTGGGAGACGGGTTTGCCAAGCAAGGGTGGCCCACAAATCACAGAGACCAGGTCTGGGAACCAGATTTAGGGAGCACAGCACCTCAGGCTCATGGCGGTCTGGGATTCAGTCTTTCTCTGCCAGCTCCTCAGGGTCACCAGCCAACTTCTTTGGGAGAGCAGGGAATGTACAATGTCACCTGGCCCGGGGCCATCAGTGCCAGCAACTTCTTAGGATAGATCTATCCCTGCCAAAGAGGAACTTGGGGGGGGGGGAGGCTCTCTCCCATACCAGTGTGCTGCCCGGTTTTCCAGTTGAAGGACACTGGGGGACTTTCCTATGGCTGCTGTGACAAAGGAACACAACATTTCACACAAATTTCCCACCTTCTATTTCTAGAAGTCAGATATCCTAAATCAGGATGTAGGCAGGGCGGCACTGCTTGAAGGGCCTGAGGAGAGAATCTGTTTTCTTGCCTTTCCTGGCTCCCAGAGACCACTTGATCCCTTGGTCCATGACCTCTCATCCCTCTTCAAGGGAGAGGCCTTGAAGCATCTTCTGTCTCTCTTCGATCTCTGCTCTTAATGTTGTTTCTTTCTTACTCTGGCCTTTCTGCTTCTCTCCTATAAGGACTCTTGTGATCATTCTGGGCCCGCCCAGATCATCCAGAATAGCCCTCCATCTCAGAATCCTTGACTACATCTTCAGAGTTCCTTGAACCACATAAAGTAGCACATTCATGGGGCCAGATTAGAGCGCTGATCTTTTGTGAGAGGGGTGAGTGCAGACACCAAACAGACCACTTACTACTAGGCTTGCCTTCAGCAAAATGTCCCAGGTGGGTGTATCTCATCCGCAAAGCGGGGACAATAGCCTACCTAGCCTATGAGTGCATGCTTCACCTCAAACATAAACTATGATGTATTATACAAAATAGATGGCATGTAGGGCCACTGCTGGTGCATAGTGCCCAGTCAGCTGGAACTATAAATAAGATGCAGCTGTGCTCAAAGAAAGTTTCCCAAATTAGTAAGCAAGATTCCTGCAGTTCTTTGGGCTTATAGCTAGGGCTATATAGCAGGGGCAAGCACGGTGTGGTGGAAGAGACTGGGCTCTGCTTGGCAAGTAGATGAACATGAATGGGCAGCTGTGAGCCCGGGTAATCAGGGTGGCATGGAGTAGCCATATGCTATGGAAGGTTAAGGGCATCACTGGAATCCAGAATAGAATAGATGTAGCTGGCACATGGGAACCATAGGGCCAACCCAGGAAAGGGCAGGTAGTTCTGTTCATGCAGAATTTGGGCTATGACTTGGAGAGTTGAGGGCCTCACGGGCTGCCCCCATTCTCTCATCTTTGAAGTATTTATTGACATCCTGCTCTGCATAAGATACCGACTCAAGACGATTTGGCCAGAGAACACAGTTCTCCAGTCCTGCGTGCTCTTGCCCAGACCTGGAGTAAAGTCAGGGTGTGGCATGCATCATACGGTCCTCCCAGGAAGTGTCAAGCATGGACAGATGCAGCCCTAGGGGCAGAGGTGACTTCCCCAGTGCAGCCCCCAGCTAGCCTGATGGACTGGCATTGAGGATGTTTGAACGCTCAGCTACGGTGCTTGGTTTGAATTAGCTTTTCATGACTAAGGAAGGCAGACTCATCGCAGGAATGCTTTTGCAGTGCTTCATTCATTTCCCCACCCTTCAGTGAGTGCCCAGGATCTGGTCCACATTTGCACTGGGGTCATCAGAGACCTTTGGGGAAAAACAGTAACAGAGAGCTCTAGGCTCATTGAGTCTTCATTCTGATGGCCAGTGTCACTCACATCCTGGCGACCTGGCCAAGTCGTTGAGTCACTCAGAATTCTCCGGTCACAGCCAGGATGTCCGTTGCTTGTGCTCAGCTGGCTACCCAAATGCTGACCGGATGAAGTCCTTCCTTCCAACTAACTATTCCCTTTTGAAATGGACTTTTCTCAATCCAGCATTATATTTCAATAAAATAATTCTGCTTCCAAATCTTTCTACAAATGAAACACTAGGAAATTCAAAACATATGCCTGAAATTCCTAACTGGCAAAGTGATTTTTAGAATACCTTTTGAAATTTTTGCTCATTTACTTGTTTTTCTAATTCTTGTCATTCATATTCTTGATATTCTCCCTGTTGCTAGGAGTTTCTTTTTTTTAATTTTACTCATTTTCTCCCATAAAGCTTGCATCTCAGGATTTCAGATGTTGATGTCAAAGACATAAATGTTATCTGCAGTTCAAATGGTGTGACTTCATTCAATTCTCTTCTTCCAGCTTACTCTTAATATCCAGAAAGATTTTCTGTCAGTGTAACTTGACCTTTATTCCTGCCAAAATACAGCTGAAAATTTTTCTTTAGGCAGCAGATGTCCTTTTGCCACTGTTGTTTGTCAGAACCACTTGCATGGTAACTGAGAATATTACTTGGCAATTAATCTCACAGGTAACTGCATGATAACTACGTACCTACAGCCCCCGCAAATTGCTGAGGGGAAGTCCTGAACTATGTTAGTGTTACCTATTTCATCTAGTGTTATCTGATTTATTTAAGCATATTGGTTTAAGTGAGTTAGGTTATAGAACTCCACCTGAGGCCATGCTCAGGTTACTGATCACCTACAATGCAGTTGCTAGAGAAGGCACCAAGCCAAGAAGCATATTGTTTAGGAATCAGGAAAGTCTCCCTTTGTCCCATCATCTAAGACAAAAGTGACAAAATGTGCTTATTTGGACTTCATTTTCTGATGAATTCAAAGGCCAATTTGGAGAAAGACAAGGAGAACAAGAGAGCTTCCAATTGTTTTTGCAAATGCCTTTGTCTGTGGCCATTCATGGCAGAGGTTAGGAAAATGAGCAGCAGAGAGAGGGAAGAGCTGATGTGGCTGAACTGGAGGCGTACATTTGCATAATAGAATAATTTTAAGTAAAAGATTAGAATGAGGAAATTGTGGCCTTCATCTGCGATGCCATCATCTCTTTCAAAAGACATAATGACATTGGAAACTTCCAAACTACAATTACAAACACACATTATATCACTGTGAAGATAAAGCTGGTAGTTAAAATCTGTCACTTCTGACATAATTATAAAATACAGCATGATGTCAAAATTCCCTTGGAAAGGCTAAGTTTTTCTCTCTTGATAATGGCAAAATATCTGAATGTTCCATTATTAAGAATTTAAAGGGTTTAAATTGAGGTAATATAGAAGTGATAGGAAAACTGTTGTTGTTCTTTCCAAGAGATAGACATAAAGTCTCTTGTTATTGGGAAGTCTTGGAAGATGGGCAGTGTTAAGTCCATCAACTCTGAAGTCAAATCTGTGCTCTTTGAATCTTACAGGTGAAAAAAATCCATTTACACTTCTAAATTATTGATTATTCTGTCTCTAAAATAAATTCCAGTTGGCAATTGAAACAGGGCAGAAGGGAGAATCACTTTGTAGAGCTCTTCTCTGCTGTCTCAAGCAGGATCATCCAGATCTGGAGAGCGAAGGTGCTCTGAAAGCCATGAAGGTAGCCACCTTCATATCTGTTCCTTTTGGGGCTTTCCTTTATGGCTGGTGACACTTGGCCATTAAATATCTATGTTTCTCCCGGGGAGTTGCTTATCATAACCTGGAATCTCCAGATTATGATCAGTGGGAAACACCAGCCAGTTTGATGAAAAAGGCCCTCCTCCCATCTTCTCCTACACACACATACACGCATGCACCCACACGCACACACACAAATATAATGGCAGATTCAGCATATTGATGCACATTTCCAGCCCCAAAAGTTTTGAGAATAAAAGATACAAAAGACCTTCTTGGTCAAAGTTGGCCATGAATTACCATTATGCTATGCTTTCCCTGGATTCTCCAGAATAAAAGAATACAGAGTTGGGGAGTCTTTTCTTCTGATCTTCAGCTCCATGGAGAGAAAGGAATGTATCCTCTCTCAAATTTATGCAAACTGATAAAATCATGACCTGCCTCTAGTACAACTATCAATTTTCTTTGCCATATTGTGTTGTATAATCTCATTGTTTGTAGGAGTCTCCTCCAGGTTCTCATCTCAGCCCAAGAAGTCAATATTTGTAATCCCAAAGATACATTATTGGAATCCCACCAAATTAATTCCAGTCTACCACTCCCAGTGCAATTCACAGCAAAAATAAAGACACTAAAACATATTTATAATTATTGGGGATCCAAGGGGCCCTAAATCCAGCCACAAAGATGGCTTTCCAGAACAAATAAGCTGACCCAGGGCCTCACCCAGGTTTTATTCAGTGGAGGAGGAGTGGCTTGAGGAGGAATGACTGAGAATTGTGGGAAGTAGGTGAGTACTGTGAGCTGCACTAGGTAGGTGGCCTACATTTACCTCTGCCATATGCAGAGAAACTAATTTGCATTATGCTATTGAGATAGTATCTAATGTTTCAGGAGTCCGGTGCTGCAGCTTTGATGTAATCTTTCAAGTGCCAGGAAGTCATAGCCTCTATCTCAATGCTCGATCAGCATGGAGTACTGGCTCTTTGTCCTGTCTCAACCTGGCTCACATTAAAGAGCAACAAGTGTAGATTACCAGGGAAACACACATGCCACCTTCAAAGACTATCACCAGCACCTCAGCTAAACCAGTATACATTGCTTAAGGCCAATTGAAAGGATAAAGAGAAGTCCTAGCTAGCTCTATACATATCAATACAAGGACATAGGGTTAGGCTCAGCAAAAACAGAGACAATTGTCCTTCTTTCAAGGACAGTTGCTCAGGTGGTCCTCCACAATTGTTGTACCCCATTGTCAATGGCACATCCTGGCCATATCAGGCATAGCCCTTCCTGCTCCCTTGTGTTTTGGGTGACAGCTCAAGTGACTAAAATTCTAGGAAAGAAACCTGTATTGCTTTCCTGGAGGATACAGAAAGTAAACCTTTAGAACTCTGCATTGTTCAAGCCACTGGACAAATTATCCCATGGTGAAGTTAATTTTATTGATCAAACTCTACCAGGCTTAGCTCCCAAAACTTTCCAAGTCATTATTTTTAGAATTATTCATTTGTTTTCCCAAATTGATAGAGATTCAACAAATAGGCATTAAACTGTCCACCACCTCACTCCATTGACCCCCTCCTGGAGGGAAAGGCAGCTGAGCACACCCAAGAGGGTATATATTCTAACTCAGTTCAGCATCTAGACGTTAGACTGGAGCAGCTGGCATAAGAGTATCATGTTAAAGGGCTGGCCAGATAGCTAGTGAACTAAAGCGCCTGCTTAGGCAGAGCACAGTGGCTGGGGTTCAATCCCCAGCATGCCGTGCCAGCCCCAGCCCCATGGCACACTGAGACAGTGCTTGTTCCTGAGTGTGATGGTATGCACCTGCAATCTCAGCACTTGGGAGGCTGACCACAGGAGGATCACTATGAATCTGATCTGTGTAGTGAGACCCTGTAGACCCTGTACTAAATACTAAAAAAAAAAAAAAAGAAGAAGAAAATATTCTACATACTGTACCAAATAGTATACATACTAGCACAGATACTCAACAGATTATGTATCTGTGACTTAAACTCTGCCATTCATTAATGTATATTTGTTTGCTAAGGATGAGCAGAGGAATAATAGGAATAAAGAATCAACTCAAGTTCTTTTAATTAAGGTCTCCTGCTGTCACTTTCTAAATGATATCTACCCAGTAAGACAAAGTTCTTGTGGTCCAGCTCAGAAGAAACAGGAGGATGCTCAGAGCAGCCCAGGACTTGAGATCAGTAAGACACAAGGATGGATAGTTGGGAGGGAGATGGGGCCATACAAGGAAGCAGTCAGCATACAGGGAGCCTGCAAAGGCACCCACACCCACGGCACTGGGAGGTACCAAGTGCCTCCCAGCTGCACCAGTCAAGTGGATCTAAGCACTTAGATCAAAAGTATCAACAAATAGGATTAGTCTAAGTATGGAGTCCTGGTTCCACATTGAGACTTGCTTTGCATATGGCCTCCTTCTCTAATAGGAAGACAAAAAAGAATCATAGAATACATAAGAGTCAGATCCATATAAGACAGAAGCTGAGGATGTCAGTTTTAACTACACAGTGAAAAAAAGACATGACCTTATCCAAGAGAAAGTGTGAGGCTCAAGAGCCTGAAACCAGGCCTTTCCCCCCAATAGAAAATTGTTTGCCTTTGAGATATTACCCCTTAGGAGTTTGGAGGGACCCTTCTAAAAAAAATACTGTTTAAAAAATAAATGTAGGGGGTGTGGATTAGAGCTATGAATAGAGTGACTTAGTGCAGAGACTCTAAGTGGTTCCATTGGGACAAGTATGGTTGTACTGGTCCCTTTATCTACTTTTGTCTTTCAATGTTTGTTTTCCCTATCAGCTAATAGCTGATGAGAAATCAGGCACTGATAAAAGAATTACAGATATTTAAGAATGAAGAGGGGAGCCTTGTCCACCAACTAGTTGAAATTTAAATTTTCCTGCCACCCCAGAAGGTAAATGATACCTCCCTGGACGGTGAATGGTACCTCCTCTGAAGAGCAGAGAAAGGCAGGGCCAGATCTAGGCTGTGAGGAGCTGACATCCTGGCTGCTGAAAGTGAGGTGAAAGTGATGACCAAACTAGGAGGCCAGTGTGGGAGAACAGATAATCAAGGGCACACAGGGTACAGTTTACTCTAAAGAATACACTAGGTTTTCTGACTTCCTGGTGGTCTTCAGTGGATACCACTGTGCACAGGGCTCAAGAACCCTCCAAAATTGTGACACTGTCATCCCCATTTATATGCTTTTGCTTTATTAGGCTTACAAGCATCTTAAAAATGGCTGCCTACTGAGTTCTCCAGCTACCATGACCTTCTCTGCTGAGAACTGTCAGTAGCTATCAGTGTTTATGACTGTTTCTGAGAGCAATGTTTGCCTTATAAAAGTAGGCATTAGCAGAAGCCAGAGCTTGGTCTTATAGGGAGCTTGATAGGACTGACAACATTATGGAAGATCTGTGCTTTATTCATTTGTGGCTTTTTCCTTTTCTCTCTCCTTCCCTCCCTCTTCTCCTGCTCCCTCTTATCCCTTTCTCCCTCTCCCTTTCCTTCTCTCTCTCTTTCCCTTTCCCCACCTACATGAGTCATCACTGCTCTTTGGAACCTAACCTAGCTTGTATTTTCTCACCGGAATTGTGTGGGATGTTGCTAAAGACAGCAAGCTTCCCCTCTCTGCAGCCAGCCAGCCAACTCCTTCCTGCTAAGAATGAAATCTGGCCACACAGCTAGGCCTCATCCCCTGAGAAGCTGCACATGCCGTGGATCCTGGATAGCAGCCCTTGGAAGAGTGTGCTATGAAATACAGGCTTTTCCATGACCTGGACCTAGGTGGGGTGCTAGCTGTTGATACTGGCCTCCACCAGCCAACTCCTATCATGAGTCAGCTGAGACATAGGGTACAATTTCTCTAAGCACCAAACACTTCTCTCCTAACCCCAAAGCCCAATGCCATTCAAAGAAGACTAAAAATCCTTGCCAGAGATAAAGTTATTATTGTGCTTCTGTTTCAGGTGCCAAACCTGCCCCTGGAATCTGCTTTGAAAGGGTCAACTCTGCAGGTGATCCTTATGGCAACTGTGGCAAAGATTCCAAGAGTTCCTTTGCCAAATGTGAGACAAGGTATGAACTTCCCAATAGTTGACACTGTGCTTTCTCACATGGCTAAGCATTCCTTCCAAACTGCTCCTCTTTGGGGATGTTTCTTCTTACCTTTGCAGAGATGCTAAATGTGGAAAAATCCAGTGTCAAGGAGGTGCCAGCCGGCCAGTCATTGGTACCAATGCTGTTTCTATAGAAACAAATATCCCACTGCAGGAAGGAGGTCGGATTCTATGCCGAGGAACCCACGTGTACTTGGGTGATGACATGCCGGACCCAGGGCTTGTGCTTGCAGGGACAAAATGTGCAGATGGAAAAGTAAGACTCAAATTCTCTCTTGCATCAGAAATGTAAGCCTGGAACAGTGCCCATTGAAAGACAGCCCATTTAAGAACTGGGGTACCAAGTTGGTTTATTTTCCTGAACCTACTCTACAAATGTGGTCTCTGGAATCTAATTCTTTACACCTACCAGAAGAAGTCAATAAATCCTAGTTCCCAGTCTGATCATTGAGATACAGATTTGGGGAAACTCAAACTTGTCTTCTCAGCCATTTATTGTTAATAAGTCATTTCTACACCCTAGGTGTCATGAGAGTTTCCAGCCAGGAAATTACTTTGGAAAGCAGTGCAAAAGCATAGTATATTGTCTTTGGAAATGTGACTGGGATTTTGGCACAGAGATTTTGAGGGCTTGTTCTTACCTGGAATAAGAAGTCAGATAGATTTTCAGAGACTCATAGAAGAGTAGGAGAGAAGAGAATGGATCAGTTGAGTACCAAAGGGGACTCCTTTCAGAGAGCAGGGAGAAGGTAAGCAGGAAATACTTTGAGAATTATAAATAAAGTAAAAATAATTTTAAAAAGAAATCAGAATTTTTATACTCTGCCACATGAATTTTTCACTACAGACTCTATGATAGTATGTTCATAAAATGTTTTTAGAAAAAGTGATGAATCGACTCTCAATGCTTTCTTAGGGCTCATTTTCATTAGGATGGTGAAATCTCTCACACAGACTAGAAGAAAGGACAGATGCCTCCATTGTTTTCTTTCCAGAATCCCAGAGACAGGAATGCTCTCCACTTACTTCCACACACGCTAAGCCACAAGCCTCTTTCCCTGAGGAACAGGGTGGCACACTGAGCATGTGACACATTCTGCTTGTCCCTAACCACATTAACTATTTGGGTCTCAACATTACAGTGAAGACCCCCTCTTTTTTTTTTTTACCTATAGTCTCAATAGCCAGAGCCAGGTACATCTAGACTCTAAAATTCTAAGAGCTCCATTTGTCCTTAGTGGCTGCCTTTGGCCTCACCTGTGGGCTCAAGGGGCAAATGGCACCTCTGTGAAGTGACTTTGACCAGAGTCCTTCTGTGTTCATTTCAATCCAGAACCATTTACATATCAGATGGATATGATAGGTCTATCAAATCTCCTTGGCCAGGATCACTGTGGATTCCTCAGAGATGTTGGCGTCAGCACTTTCTTTAAAGGGCCTTGTTCCTGTCCTGCGTGAGCTCCTGGGGAAGGATTTTCTAAGAAGCAGACTCTTCTCCCTTTGATTCCACTGATTTGTAACATCTTATAGGAGAGAAAGAGGCTGGAATACACTATGCACCCCTGAAATGACGCCAACTCTTTCCACCAGTTCAGTTCATTTAGCAAATTCCCACTTCTGGAATAGTTTGCTAAGCCCGTAGAAGCCTCTGCTTGCTCCTGCTCCTGCTGGCTTGTACCATTAGTGATGCTATAGTCAGCACTTTGAAATACTTCACATGTTTCAATATCTCTTAAAGATTCTTGGACCCTGGATTCTTGGACCCTGTATAGACTCATTAGGGTCTATACAGCTCCCAGGATGAGGTATAATCTATCTTGCCCTCTCCAATAGTTTTTTCCAGTGGGGAAAATGGTCTTTAATACATAGGCTTTGCTGTAAACCCCAAACAAAAATCATGAGAAAAATCATTATAATTTCAAGATTAACTAAAACTTTCAAATGCCATAAAATATAAGACAACTCAGTAGGGTTTGCATCAGACTTAGTTTCAAAAACATGCTTAGTTCGGAGCCAGACAACAAGACCCAGGTCTGAGATGAATGCCACACGCATCCCCCTTAGTTGAAAAAGGAGTCATTTCCAAGTCTTTCCATGCTTTTTCTTTTTTTAATATACATATATGGGAGGAGGGAAGCCAAAGTCCTAAGATATGCGCTGTGTTTCCTCCTCCTGCAGATCTGCCTCAATCGCCGGTGTCAAAATGTTAGTGTCTTCGGGGTCCATGAATGTGCAACGCAGTGCCATGGCCGAGGAGTAAGTGGCCTCTCGACAGCTAGCCCACAACAAGCCAAGCAAGAAGCAATTCATTCATTTAAAAGCAATCCATAGCGTTTGAAAAATATAGCAGTCATTGTTCTTCTCAATATTTTCTTCTGAAGACATTAATTTTCTTTGACCTTTGCATGGGAAAAGAAATGTCATTTTCATTTAACAAAGAAAATCAGATTGAATAGTAATTATCTTTTAAATTAACGTTCTGTGATTTAAAGAGCAAATTTTGTCATCACTGAAGTAATTTCAACACTAGCCTTCCTTGGTAAAGTGCTTCTCATTAGCATTTCAAACCCCGCTGCCGCTCTTGCTTCCAAAATTCCAAATATGAGTCTGAACCAAAACTCTTCCAAAAGGGATTAAAATGAGACAGCAAAGCATACTAACCACATGCTCTGGAAACCCCTCACAATGGATTTCCACCAACACAGACTGTTATTTTAGTTCAAAAGAGCTTTGGGGGAGAAGAAGACTGTAATTGTTAAAACATAATTTATTTCTCCTGATGGGCTTAATTATTTCCAATAGAATCATATTAATCTTGATTAGCCATGCCAGTGGTTCATTTGTTTTTCTGAAACCTTTTCTATAGAAATCACACTCTAAATTTTATTTTTGAAACTTCCAGATATTTCCCAATATTCTAACATGAAATTACAGTTTTCACAAAAACTTCCCAATGCTTGCCAATGACTCTAACATGGAATTATGCGGTTTTCAGACAATTACCACTGTATTAAAACAGTAATGGACTGTAGTGCCACCTCTGTTAGCTTTGTTGGTGTCGCATTTAGCTGATCTTGTTATAAAAATGGAATCTCTTTGTGTCTTCTTTAGATCATAGCATTCTCTCTCCCCTCCAAGTACTCTCCAGGCCTGACTCTGCCTAGCTTCTGAGGTCAGAAGAGATTGAAGAGGGTCAGGGTAGTATGGCTAGAGACAAAGTTGTTCAAATGGCTATAAAAGATAAAACAGTCCAGCCCGATTGCTTGAGTACTGAAGTCAAAACCCAATGGTGAGAGAAGGGAAAGTCTACCTAGAGTGGTCACCACCAAGCAGGCTGGAGAAGCCTGGATGCACCCCTATTCTCTCTCATACCCTTAGGGCCACATGCACACATCAGAGAGAAAAGAAAGATACAAGTTTCAAAGCAGCTGACCAAAACTTGGCGATCGGTAGCATGACCACAGCCCCCGCCCCCACCTCAATGAGACTAGGCTCACCAGTGTTACCTCCAAGTGATGTTAAGGACTGCTGCTCCTTGGCCATAAGCTCAATGGGCCGCATAGCCATACGCGGCAATGGGAGATTGAACAGTGCAGGACATGAATCTGAATCTAATGTGTGGCTTCCCATCAGCAGCACCTTGGAGGAAATAGCCAAGACACTAAGGTTAGCATAAACTATGCCACAGGCTATATAACCCTGTTTAATTGGAGCTTTGTCGAACACCGCTGCCTGATTTATCCCAGGCTGCATTGACTATCTGGCTTCAAATTTGCATCAGTGGGGCCAAAGAGTTGATTTCATCACAAAAGAGACCAGCAGGGTTGAACTGATCCAAAAAGAAGAAAACAGGCCAGGAATAGCTCAGTGACACAGTGCCTGCCTGGTAAGCACAAGGTTCTGAGTTTGATTCCCAGCAGCAAAAAGAAAAAACTCAATTTAAAGAGGGAAACTTCCACAACTGGGGACATACTTTATGTATTTTGTTTTGCCTTAAAATATTAAGGTATATGTTTGGCACTAATGTCTTGAAGCACGACCTTCAGGGTTCATTTACTGACTACTGTTCTCTTTTAACATCCACATATGAACCAGTCACAAGTTCATTGCCTGCAGTGTATAGCTTGTTTATCTAAGTGGAGGAGAGACTTAGAGACTCACCAGCCCCCTGAGGGCACAATCTTTCTTGTCCCATGTAGCTTTTCCCATTTTACTGTTGTCCCCATTCCTAATTTGTCAGAAATTCTGCTGAGTGATTTGCCTTTATCCAGCGTTCTGATTCACTGACTTTCACAGAACATACACATAGATGCCATTGGTCTGTGCACTGATTCAATAGATTGCATACATGATGATTTATGTTCTACAAGGCAAGAACTATCATGGCCCCTCCATGTAGAATCCTAGTCTCCTAGTCAGGAACTTGTTCCAGAGCCAGCAGAGGCATAGGGCACCCCCTTCTCCTTTCTTAGCACCCATGCTTGTCATGTCAGAGCCTTCCTCTTATTCTGTGAAGATTTGCTGTAGTCTTCCTGCCATGGGTGATGCAGAGCCTGGGAATGGCCACAGGAAAACTCAGGTAGAAAGTGGGCATTTCAGGAGTGAGAAATGAGCAGGACTGGAGGAAGTGTTAGTGGCCTCCTGTGCACCTTTGCAGGCATCAGGAAACAGGAGACAGGAAGGTCCCAGTGTCACCTAGAGGCAGAAGAGCTTCCCAAGCCTGTTGGGTCCCAAGATGCCCTGGTAGTCAGGTCCCTGTGGCAGGTCCTGCCTCCCTATGGAGAGCACTTCTTACAGGCAGACAATGAGGGTTTCTTGGATTTAAAAATGACAGGAAGGGCTGGCCAGATAGTTCAGTGGATTAAAGCACCTGTTAGGCAGACAGGGACAAGGGTTCCATCCCTGGCTTGCCGGGCTGCCCCCACCCCCAAGTCACACTAAACCAGTGATGGAGTCCGGGCATGGTGGTGCGCGCCTGTAATCCCAGCAATTGGGAGACTGAAAACAGGAAAATCACTACAAGTCCTGTCTGTGTAGTGAGACACTATAGATGCTGTACAAAATACATAAAAAAAAATAAATAAAAATGACAGGAAGACTGGGGGAAAAGGGGCAGCAGAGAGCTGGTGAGACTTATTAGCACTCATAATTCCCTCAGTGGCTGCTGACACCCAAGGTGTGCTGCCTCTGGCTCCAGTCACCTATACGGTGCTGTTTGGGGCTGGTTCTCACTGTGACCCTCGCTGAGTTTGGCCGAGTGTGTGCTTGTGGGGGCTGTGGCCTCGGTGCTTTTGCTTTGCTGTGGTGGTACATTGTGGTGCCGAGGCTTGTCACCCTACCACACAGTGGCTGTGCCCTAACAGTTCTCCTTGGGGTGTCTCACCCCCCTGCTGTCCTGAAAGGTATGCAACAACAGGAAGAACTGCCACTGTGAGGCGCACTGGGCACCTCCCTTCTGTGACAAGTTTGGCTTTGGAGGAAGCACAGACAGCGGCCCCATCAGGCAAGCAGGTGAGTAAGCAGGTGCTGCACCAGCAGGGGTGCCAGTGGGGGGCAGACCCCTGTGGCTCAGCCCGAGGCCTCGCCCAGTTTCCAGCACCCCATCCTTCTCACTCATTCAGCTTCCCTGGGCCTTTGCTCTCCGGCTAAGTTTGTCAGGGTCTCGGCCTGTAACACTTTTCTCAACTAAGGCGGTGAGCCCCAAGTGGGCTCAAACTTTATCATGGTACCAAAGGACTTTGTCACTGTTGCCTTCTCTGTGCTGAGAGCACCAGGTGTGATGCTTAATGCCCTTTGACGCCAAGCAGAAGGGCGGACACCTCCTAACAAAGTCCATAGTTTCTGCAGCAGCAGCAGCAACAGTAATGGGGACTGTGTGGTGAACAGGCACTGTGCTAAGCGATTCAGGCACTTGATGTCACCTGCCACTTACACGATGCCACCGCAGGTGTGATGATTGGATAAAGGACCTGAGCACAGGGAAGTTAAGTAACGTGCCTAGTGTCACACAGCAAATACTGAGGCATGAGTCCCTGTTCCCAGAGACGCTCTCCATATGGCTCTGTTTGAATCCTCCAATCATCTCTTCTCAGACAACCTTCAGCAATGGTCTCCTAGTAAGAGTGTTGTTTTCTGAGTTCTTGTGAGGCAACGGAGGGACAAGCCTGAGAATGTCCCTTTTATAGTGAAAGAAACAAGGAAAAAAAAAAAAAAAAGAGGCAGACTGCCATCAGAGTCAGCAGCTGGAAAGCCAGAGCAGGTGTGAAGGGGAGGGGACTGCTGTAGCCCCGTTGGCATTAGCTGAACACCCATGATGCTTGGAGTGTGACCAGCGCTGCTGCAGAAGAGGTCATGCATCCCCAAGGCCTGCTGTGATTGGCAGCGATGAGTCTGGTCTTGCCACCATCTCTATGACAACAGACACAACACTGCTCTGCAGGGCCAAGCAGAGCACGCCCTGGGCTCTGAGGGGAGGCCAGCCTCCCAGGCACGGCTGACGAAACTGCACACGTAGGGCCAGCGAGTGCCCTGTTCACCATCCGTGAAATACAGATGTGTTCCAGTGTTGCTACTAAGAGCTCCAGGTCTCCACTCTTTCAGTCCCAGACCCAGACCCTGAGCAGGTAGGAAAAGGCCCAGATGGTCCTACCTTTTACTGAGTACCCACGGCAGTGGTGAAAAGCAAGGGCTGGGTCCGGCAGGCTCCCAGTGCCATCTCAAGCCTTGACAACTTGTCACTTGCTGCAAATGAATACTCTAATGGGAATTCTTCTATTCATTGCACAAAAAATAGCAAGGTTTGTTTTTCAGTCCTTAAAAGACCTTTCCACTCATTCTGTATTTGTTCAAGAAAACCTGGTGGCATTCACAGGGCCTGGAAAAGATTGGCTGCTCCACGTCTGTCTCTGACGTGGACATGCGTGACCAGAGCACTCAGGTTTCATGATTTCCAAAAAGTCAAAGAATCTAGAGACCCCTGCACACTATTACACTAAGAAAGAATATTAAAAATGAAACCCTCAAAGGACTATCTACTGTCACCTTTATTTCTTAAAAGAAGATGTCTGGTAAACGCTTCCCCTGGACACGCACATCACTGTCCCCACTTCCCACTGCTCTCTGGCCTCCCCTTGGCTCACCGGTTCAGCAGGTACTGATGCATGCTGGCTGTTCTTAACATCATGGAAAGGGCAGAGGGGATAGCACATGGCAGAGTGCTAAGTGGGAGCTGGGGGAGAGTGGGCCACACCACAAGCTTAGCAGCAGTGTGGGGATGGATGGCCAAAGGCTCCTGGGATGTTACGAAGCTCTGCAGGGGCCAGGAAGCAGTGTGTTCTAAGCAGAGCTGGGCTGGCTGTACAGAGACCCAGGAGTGGAGCAGGGTAGGTAGCGGGGATGGTGGCTAGGGAAGGAGATGTGGAAAACCAGCTCTGCAGAACACAGATGAGGACAAAGGAGTCACAGCTCAGCCCCCACCTCACTCTGGAGGAATTCAGGGTTTGATACCACTGCTCAGGAAGAAAGCAAGCCTAGGGGTGTCCCAAGGATAGTGTGCTAGGGGACCAGTAAATAAACATTCTGTTGGATAAATCAATCAGTTTAAGACTTATAGATTGATTTTAAGCAACTAGAAATTATGGTTTGAGACTTGTATTGCTGCCTTTTTTTAATCTTTTATTCATTCATTTGGTATAGAGTCTTGCTACACAGCTCAGACTCATAGTGATCCTTCTGTCTCAGCCTCCCCAGTGCTAGGCTTACAGGCACATGCCACCATGCCCAGTTTCAGTAGCCAACACAGCTCAGAGCCAACATGGCATGCAGTACTGGGGATCAAACCTGGGTCCCTGAACTTGCCAAGCAGGCATTCAGACCACTGAGCTACCTCCCCAGCCCATTGCTGCCTTTTTAATTAGCTTTGTTATGAGACAACAAAACCCTATTCAGAGTCCCTGGTTGTTGCTTAGAGTGTGGAATGAATGACATTTTGGCCACAAATCAGAAGGAAACTTTTGTAGCTACACTAACAAGTGAATCAAATCTAGCAAAGACACACTGCTGATAGGATGAGTCAGTTGGAGACAAAGTCCAGAAATAGGGTGTAAGACATTCTCCCTTAGAGAGGAGGCTGCTGCTGCTCAGATCCACAGCCAGCAGGGAGTTAAAGCGAGAGGAGGAGGGGAGCCTGGGTAACTGAAACCACCTTCATGGCTGTCATTAGCAGCCCCAAATGACATGCATGGGGGGGGGTGAAGCACCCCCAATAAAGGTCCTAGGGTTAAGTCCCTCACAAGACAAAATCCAGGAGGAGCTTCATTCAAGCCTTCCCCTTTCACTGAGATATCCAGAAATAGTTTGATTATAAAAAGCAATAATTATAGATACAAAATAAAGCAGACGGGTAATACTACAGAATGAAAAAGGTTTCAAGTACAGTAGCTATTTACTAAGGGGCTAGAAGCATTTAGTGTGGGGACCTCTAATTCTGATGAGGCTTGAGCGATGGTCTCTGTTCCTTTTGGTGTCCCCCATGGTTGCCTGGCTCAGGAAGCCGTGCGCTCCAGCCACAGTCCCTCTCCCAGAGTGTGTTCCTGTTCAGTAAGCTCTAGAGTTGTCACTGAGGAAGGACAGCAGCATAGACTGAACCTCGCACAGGATCTCTGGAGTACCACTAATTTATTAGTGCATCATTCATGGATTCGCTCACCTCGTCTCTGTTTGTTCCTTCAAAGTTCACTCGGCCATAAATGTCACGATGTGATATCTCCCGTATTTTATTATAACTGCCTCCTTCCATGAGCTAAATGTGTTTTGTTTCAGATAACCAAGGCTTAACTATAGGAATTCTGGTGACCATCCTGTGTCTCCTGACTGCTGGATGTGTGGTTTATCTCAAAAGGAAGACCTGGATACGACTACTATTTACAAATAAAAAGACAACCATTGAGAAGCTAAGGTACCCTGACTTTGCGCCATCTTTTCAAGAAATGACACACAAACCAGGTCTCGCTTCATGATCTTCAGCAAAGAGACTGTTTTGGTTGTAAGACTGGGTCTTTCCAGTGTATTTTATTTGTGTGGTTTTGTTTTTTAATTTCTACCAGACCAATTGCTTTTTATACCTTCCCTCCAAACTATTTGCTGCTCATTAGATAAATGAGCAGTGTTGATAAATTCCATGGATGGGTTTTATTCTACTCTTACATCAGTAATTTTTACAAGGGGACATTGCAATGTGTCATCAGATGGGGTAACTTTGGATCCAAATGTACTCAAAGACATTATTGCTGAAATACCAGCTTCATGCAAGACATCTCCTAGATGTCTCAGGGCCAACATGGCATGCAGTACTGGGGATCAAACCTGGGTCCCTGAACTTGCCAAGCAGGCGCTCAAACCGCTGAGCTACCTCCCCAGCCCATTGCTGCCTTTTAATTAGCTTTGTTATGAGACAACAAAACCCTATTCAGAGTCCCTGGTTGTTGCTTAGAGTGTGAAATGAATGACATTTTGGCCACAAATCAGAAGGAAGGTTTTGTAGCTACACTAACAAGTGAATCAAATCTAGCAAAGACACACTGCTGATAAGATGAGGCAGTTGGGGACAAAGTCCAGAAATAGGGTGTATTTCTACGGGTTCCAAGAACAAATTTGACAAAACAGTGACAGTGAAAGGAAAATCAGTATTTATTTTTATATGTCAAAAGTCTTCAGTCTTCCTTCACATGTTTACCACGACAAATGAAGCTAAGTTATATTTTGAATGACACTGTAAACAGAAAGTACGAAGTTAAGCCAAGAAGGGGAAAGCTCTATAGTGAGTGTGTATGTGGTTACCCTGCAGGTGTGTGCGCCCTTCCCGGCCGACCAGCGGCTCCCAGCCTGGTCAGGCTCACCTCACCCGCCATGGAAAGGGCCTGTCGAGTAGGCTGCCACCTTCTCACACAGCCAAGGTAAGCCATGGACAAACATGGGGACTCGGCCTAGGGGCCGCTCCCTGGGCGGGGAGAGCTGCTTTAGCCTGGTGCTATCCCAGAATGTCTGGAAGCATTTCGTGGAGCTTCAGTTTTGTCACTTCAGCTGAATCCAGAGCTATGAGAGCCGTGTCACTTCGTTCTTTCAAAGAACTGGAACCTTAACCAAGAGTACCTTAAAGTTCCCTGCAGTCTGTCAATTTTCCTACTACCCTGGTGGATTATTAATAAAGTCATACTCTCATGTATCCTTTTTCCCACCATTCATGGGGAATATGTATCTCCATCTACCCATCCAATTCTTGAATATTAGCCAGACATCCTGGTATACATCTATAATCCCAGCACCTTGGAAAACTGAGGCAGGAGGATCACACGTTCAAGCCCAGCCCAGACAACTTAGCGATTGTCATGCTCTCTCAAAATTTTGAAAAATAAGGGCTGGGAGCAGGGCCAGCGTGGCATGCAGGACCAGGGATCAAATCGTGGTTCCTGCGCTTGCCAAAGGAGGCACTTAGTCCACTGAGCTCTCTCGCTGGCCTGAGGTCAGAAATTATTAAACTCTGCATATTTTATATATTTGCAGTTATATAAGGGAGCAAGGAAGACAGGAGTGGGGGCCTGAAGTGCAAGATCACGCCATGTGACCTGAGGGACAAGGTCTCCAGAAACAAGCCCTTGGCCTTGGCCCAGCTTTCTGAACTCTCGATTCTCCCTGAGTGGTTTTCTCCACTCACGTTCAGCTCTGTACACACCAAGTTGTGTCATCTTTACACATCACCTTTGTAGGTTCCTTAAAATCTGGATCTTGTCTCTATTCTTGGTGGTACTTCGAGTGTCTTGTACTTATTTATTAATGAAACCAGTCTGTTAAATACAAATAAGATGCAATTCCGCACTGCAGACTTGACCCATGGGTGTTGGGGGTGTAGGGGGGATTCGGTTAGACTTCTAGAGTATAAATATGGGTTCCTTCTCATGGATACTCTCAACTTCATGCCTCTGCCAACCTCCTCCACTTTCGGCCGGAAAGCACAAGTTAACAATGCTGCTTCCTTAGGGTTATTGATACTGCTGAAACCCATGACATCATGGCTGTCTGCTTTGACTGCAGGATAGAAGACCACCACTGAATGTGGACATCAGCAGACCCCTCAGCACCTTTGCCATCCCTCAGCCCCAGTCACCCCAGCGAGTGCTCCCACCCCTCCACCAGACCCCTCGGGTACCGGGTGGCCCTGCCAGACCCCTGCCAGCCAATCCTGCACTGAGGCAGGCCCAGGTAAGGTTCCAGTGCTCCCTGGATGGGACACCATTGAAAGCCACTCTTTGCCACTTGCTCATGTGTGAACATGGGCAGTTTGAGCTATACAAATGATTAAATGAGATAATGTATGTAAAACATTTTAGTAGAGTGGTTGGAGTATAGTAAGGGTAGGATTTCTTTTAATGTGTTATTACTAATCTTTTTAATATTCATTGTAGCCAAGGTGCTCATGCAAAACTTATCATCTGACCCACGGGCCACTTGAGACTTACAGGGGACACTATTAACCATTACCCTGGACAATGAAACAGGCAATCCAAGACAAGTGGTCACTCTCATAGTAGTTATACTTTCTTACCATTTTTTACTTTCACAATTAACTACAAGAACTTTACAACCTATTAAGGTTTTTGTTCTAGACTTCGCATTATATTGGATGTTTTGGGTAAATTTTCTCATTCTCATGCTGCTTTTGAAAGAAACTTTTTGGCCATGAGCATAATTTTGTAATAGAAAGTTTGGGGAAAAGAGGCAATGACATAATCATTGCTACATTTTGCTCCTGTTGTTACATTCTTCTCTAATATTCTTTATAATTATGTCTTAATTTTATTATTTACATATATAGCTTTTTACACTGCAGTTTTGCTTTAAAATCACTAAATTGGTACTGTCAAGTCCTATATAATGTTATTTAAACAAGTAGCACTCTGCTTGAATATAGAATAATTTCTCAAGTGCTTGTCAATTAGCGGATATGATTGGATGTCTCTAAATTTTGCTACTGTAAACATCTCCATTATGAAGGTCTCTGAATGAATAAATTTTGGACTTCTTTAATTCTTCCCTTAAAAGAGATTCTTGAAAATGAAATACTGAGTTAAAAAGTTAAATCAGTTGGGCCAAGGATTAAGCTCAGTGGCACAGCTCCTGCCTGGCAAGCGTGAGGTCCTAAGTTCACTTCCCAGTACCCCATCCCACCCCCCTCAAAAAATTAGGCTACGTAAGCCTTCATAATAAGTTAAATTATTTCTCAGAACTGTTATATACATTTATATTCCCACATTATTATTGAGCATCTCATCATGACTTTGCTAGTACAAATATTGCTATTTCAAAGCATTGACAACTTGATAAAGTATCTCCTTTCAGTTCAGCTCTGTTCTTTATGATACACGTAATTAGAATTTGCCTTGGTAAATTGTAAAGTCACTTTTATCATTAGAAACTGTCTTCTTCAACTCTGGATATCTTTGTTCTAAAGTGTACCTCATATTTTTTTTTCTGGTTCAGCCCACCCTGAAAGCAGGGCTGATGAGGCATGTGGTGCTGGGTATCAAACCATTGTCCCCTGTGGCTGCCTAAGCTTGCCCAAGCAAGCATGTTAGACCATGGAGCTATCTCACTGGCCCCTTATCTATCATTAATATATCTATACTAGTTCCCTTTTTATTAGTGTTTGCAAAACATATTTCCCTCTTTTACTGTTAACCTATATTATATTTCAAAACAGTTTCTTATAGACAGTATATAGTTGAGTATAATTTTTTATACATCCTGCCAACCACTCTCCTTTAAGAGATATGTTTAAGCCATTTACATTTAGTGCTGTTATCGATGTTAGAATTTAAGTCTATGACCTTAAAGTTTTCTTCATTCCCTCTGATCTTTGTTGCATGGTGAACTTGCTTCTACATCCCTGTGATTTAGTGAACATTCTAAGAAATGCATTCAATGTTAATTAACCTATATTTTTTATTAATTTTATTGAGAAATAGCAATGAGACAGTTTCAAAACCAATTAGTAGGACAGTTTCAATAATACATTGCATATTGTTGTCTTTGTAGTGATTACTCATAGTACAAGATGCAGATGTGATATCCTGTTTGTTGAATATATACCTTTATATAGTTTTATGTGTGATTGTTCTATGGCAGGGCTTCTCATTTCCAATCTGAGTTCCTCTATACCTTTCTTCAGCTGTTTCTTTATTTCAGAAGCCGTTGATTCATTGCTTTCAGCTGTGTGATTCCCAATTTGTTCTGTGTTAGTGTCCTCTGCACTTGTTATGGGTGGACTTGGGTTCTGAGATTGCATTTTGCACCTTCTCATTGTCATTTTGTGTAGCACTGTCTTCTGCCCTTTGTTGTAGATCTTTGTTGCAGTTATAACCTTAGCACCTACTGAAGTTCAGATGTAGATCTACAAAGTTTGGATTTATCCAGCTGTGACTGGCTTGGATCTGGCTGCTGTGCTCAGCTCCTTCCTGCTGCTGCCCTTGGGGGTGAACCTGTTGTGCCCCTCTGGCAAGATGTTCTGCTCCTGGACTAGCTGGATGGTTCTGTCCTCTACACTCTCTGCAGGGATTGCAGCTGAAGGTTTTTACCCCAGGCCTGTATGCCAGGCCTGAGCTGAGTCTGGAGGGGACAAGGTGGAGTAGGGGGGAGAGGCAGCTCTCCCACACACTCACCGGGGCCTGGAGTAGGACTGGATCTGGGGGTTCCCAGAACGCGACAGAAATTCCTACTCTGCAGGTGGAGTGTGGGTGGGGATACTACGGAGTCATGGGGGGGGGTGTCCCAAGAGGGTGAAAGAGGGTGTCACCCACGCTGCGCCTGGGCTGGGACCAGTAGGTCATGCCAGCACAGGGTAGCTGGAAGCTCTTTCACACACTTACCGGGCCTGGGCTAGGACTGGGTCTGCCAGCAGGGCTTCTCAACCTCAACATTTTGATATTTAAGGCTGAATGACTCATTGTTGTATGGGTCTTTCCTATACATGTTTGGAAGTTTAGCAGCATTCTTGATCATGACTTACTAGCAATACTTGTAATCCTGTCCCCATACACTGCTAATTGTCCCAGAGGGACAAATCATCTCAGTTGAACACTACTGCTCTAAAAGTCATAATATATGTTCATAGTCTAGTTGTATTGATATTTTACCACTTCAGGTAAAATGTAGAAACTACCAGATTTTAGGTCTCTATCCTTTATTACCTGTATTGTGCCCACTTATCTACATTAAGAACCACTTCTGATAGTTTAGTTTTGCTTTCAGCCAAATATCATGTTTAAAACCTGAGAAGAGTCTACTCTACTCATATATTTACATTTTATATTCATTCATTTCTGCTGCCCCAAATGTGTTATTTTCTATCTGAAGAAGATTCTTTTAGTTATTCTTTTAGGTAAATCTGTGGCTAACCAAGTCTTAGTTTCCCTTCATCTGAGGGTGTCTTTATGATGAATATTTTTTTGACTTATTAGATTAACTTTATTTACTTAAAAATAGCTGCTTTTTCTGAAAATGTTTATTAAAATATATAGGAAAGGTCTTTAGTGTAAGTAAAAGTGCCCCAATATAATACGTATCATGCTATAATCACAATTATTTACAATATTATTTTCAGAGAAAAATGACAACATTTGAATAAAATGCAAGAAAGAAAACATCACATTTT